CAATTATTAACCTTTTACGATTGACGAAGCAGTGAGAAAGACTGAATAGATTTGGGACACGAAAAAAGCTTTGATATTGCAAAGGAATTCTAAATTGAAGTGCAGAAAATAACATATTTTCATAAAAAGACTTTCAAAACTTTTTCAAAGTTCATAAAAAGACTTTCAAAGTTTTTGATTATAGTAAAAACACTAGGATCGTTGTATATTTTTAAGAGAATTATTTCAAAAATCATGGTAGCGATTAAAACTTCAAATGAGATAACTTTTTTTAAATATATTTTGGAAATATTTGGAGTAGCATTCTATAAATATATCTAAAAATGCAAGCAATAGCCACACACAGATAATTTTAATCATGATTAGTGTAAACATCTATAAATATTTTTGTAAATGGAAAAATACGCTAGTCAAAATGAAAAAAAGCAGAAAATTTTTATTGCGAAAGCGTATAAAACGAATATAAAATCTGCATAAAACAGTATTATTTATATAACATTTAAAAATAGATTAAGTAGGCGAACAGACTTTTTTGATATCTAAAGCACGTATCGATCGCTCGTAGCTTATATTATGTGTGGGAGTTAACATATTATTTTACAAGTAATGGACGTTTATTACTATCATTATAAATCATTTATTAATACGCTAAAACAATTGTAAAATATGTAATTCTTTATTAAGACTTTTCTCATAATTGTTTATTATAAAGCTTTTCGATAATACGCTTTTTACACAAAATGTTAATCAATTTTAACCAATATTTTTAAACTCGTAATATATTCAATAATCGGGAGCGTCCTTGTATTTTCTCTTTTTATTCTTCAGTCATCTGTAAGTGAATATATTGACAAATGTAACTTTAATGACGCTTATAGTGAAGAAAAAACATCACATTTTTCACATTATTATTGATAACGCAATGGTAATCTTTGAACAAACATGTTAGAGATTTTTCAATAGAAAGATGTATACTAAATATATATCTCACTCTTTTTTTACTTCTCATTTTATAAATGTTTATTGATCAAGTATTCACCGAAAAAAGTCACCTTATCGAGTGTTGGCGCAGGCGTTAGTAAGTATCTGTAATGATGCAAAATTTCTCTTTTGTTAGATAAAAAACGGTTAAATAGACGAGAAACATCTCGTTTGATGACAGTAATATTTATCGATCATTATCCCTGAGAATTATCATGTACACACTATCCCTTTTTTTCTTATACTGCTATATATGTATAATGCTCGCCAATAATTCTTTATTTCAATGCATTAATTTATTAGATTTCTCCAAAAATGTATAATAATAAGTAATAATAAAGTATAATAAGACATGTCGGGGATGTAGCTAAAACATGTTCTTATTATCTATTACATTAGCTAAAACATGTTCCTTTTATCACGATTATAAGTCTTGATTCTTCTTTCGATACACATCAATCAGACTATCAGCTACGTAAGGACAAAGAAGCAAAATCAATTTTCTGTCGAGAAACTCGGCCATACAGAAAAAGAAGAATGGAACAGAATGTAAGAGGAGAAGTGAGAACGCGATTAAGAGTAAGAATGAGAACAAGGGTAAAGTTGAGGGTGACCATGGTCGGTCCTTAGCGGGGTTGATTCAACCTTACAGCAAAGAATCGACGGAAAACTCCTCAAGAGAGTCAAATTGTCTGAAACCTAGATTTTTAAAACATCTTTTTATTAATCGATATTGTTATTGATCAATATCATTATGTTTCATTATTTTTTATCAAATGTTTTCACATTAATGATGTGCGTGTAACAGAAAAGTTTAGTAGATTGCACTATCAAAATTTTTATTTCCATATATTTTGATTGCAAATACATGAAATGTCAAAATAAATGAAAATAAAAATTCATGAATTTTATTATAAAAAAATGTTTTATAATATTTCACATATCCTTTATTTTTTCGACGTTCTTTGGGAAATTGTATTCTTTAGTAAATTTAATTACTTTAAGCGAAAACATTAATATAATAAACTTGTTATCTTGAATGAAAAAATAATGAAAAGAGAAATCTTTCTTGTCTTCGTATGTTTCATATATTTCTATCGGTCTTTTTAGATTCACTTGATTTCTTAAGTAAATCAAAAAGCAAGAAGAGCAAAAAAGGAATAGCATTAGTCAAATGCATAATTTATATCTCTTGCAATTCACAAGAGTACAGATTTTTCCAGAATCTGTTTTTATTTTAATTCGACTCGCAGATATTTTTGTTATTAGAGGAAACTTTATTATCATTTCATTATTTATATCTAGGATTATGCAACTTCGTTGTTTAGCTATATTTACAATCCAATAGGTTCCATGTGTGTGATTTTGTTTCGTAATTTAAATTATATAAGCGACAAGAATACGATTAAATAGTATCTCGAATAGCTAAATCTTTGTAAGCAACTTGAATGATTTTTATATGTCTTTACTTTCCTCGAAAAAGAGCATCAACAATTTAATATCTTAAAATGTTTCAGCGGAAAAAGTTATTAAATTCCGATTCTTATTACAACGAATAGTTTATGCTTCAGAACGATAAAACGGAGCTGATAAAATTACATAATACCAGGCGATCAATAATCGCAATTTATGAAATATAAAAATAGAGGAGAGCACGAAACATTCGTTAGAGCATTCAAATTATATTCGAAAAGCAAAGAAATAAGATTTGTATCTCGCGTACCTTCGAAATTTTTATTACTCGAATATTTATTACTCCGAATGCAAACAAGAATGAATTCAAAGGCACTTTGATTACGGAATATACAAAAGTGATATGCAATATGCAAAGAATACAAAAGCGAATTCTCATTATCTGCATCTTATCTACATTCTATCTTATATCGTGAGTCTACGCGCAGGGAGATTGGGCGTGAGCTTCTGTCAGAGACTGTACTCGCTCTGGAAAATCCATTTCGTTTTAACTTTACGTTCAAATTGAATGTTTTGTAGTTGTGTGTCGACTTGGGTGAGATGTAGCTGCCGGGGTAGAGAAACGAAGGAGGGGTAGATAGGTAGGTAGGTAGGTTGACGTGGTGGAAGTTGATAGAAGATAGGAGATGGTAGTGGAAGGGGTTGGTAGAGAGGGATCGAGTCTGGCACGGGGAAGGTGGACGGGTGGTAGAAAGGGAGTTGTGGAGGCAGCAAAGGAGAAAGGCAGGTGGCCGTATTTCGCTCTCCCTCTTTAAATCACATTCATCAGAGGCAGATGGCCGCACCGCTCCATTCCGCTTTCCTCCGCTTCACTCCGCGTAGGGGTGGTACACGGTGCACGGTACCAAAGAAGGTGCAGCACCCGCGAGGGAGTAGAGGCAAGGGGGCCGATCCGTGTACCAGAGGAAAGAGAGCGGATGAGCGAGATGGTCGATGAGGGGCCGAGGGAAGACAGGGGTATAGAGGAGAGACTGGGAGACGTGCGGATATTGATTCCCACGGGATATGCGCGCGTTCAACGAGACTCGGAAGTCTGAAACGTACATATGCTGTTTTTAAGAACGTATGCATAATGTGTACATTGTAGGATTGCTATATGTACATGTATATATCGTTATTGTATGTATATGTTGTTGACCAAGCATCAAGGTACCTGGAAGAATCATTCCATTATATTATAATGGCAAAATGTTGGAGACCAAATTTAATTGTAAAAAGATGAGATTGAAAATATGTAATAGCGAGAAATTCTCTCGTGGTGATAAAAAATTGCAATATTTGTCAGTCGCAAACATTAAATATAAACGTAATATTGATAATATATTGATAAGGAAAAAAGCTAGGAATATGTTATTGCTACATTATTGATTTATGTCAATAATGTTTTAACGGCTATAATTATTATGACATAATTAACAAGTCAATAATTGTATAAAAATATGCAAAAATTAATATAAATTTCTAATTAATTTTTAATATTAATATTAATGCAAATGTATTGGTAATGTGCACCATTATTAATAAGTTTATAAAATCTATAAAAAGTTAATTTATAATTAACTTTTTATAGATTTTATAGACTTATTAATAGTGATGCGCATTACTAATGCATTTGCATTAATATTTGCTGCTATCAATCGATCTTCTAGCTTGCAAAACGAATCGATTTTAGGGATCCAATTGTATTTTGTATCAATCTATCTGTTTTGCATTCTCATCATTATTAATATTAACGAATTAGTATTTTGATATTCGATTATATTTAAAACATATAATAAATGACAAAATCAAGTACAATTAAAGCGTGTTGTTCTAATAAAATTGCAAAAATCAGTGGAAAACGTTTGCGTTTTTTTTGTTGGGTTAGTTGAACTCGTGCGGACGTGAGTGAACGAACATCACAGGAAAGGCAAAGATGAAAGTGAAAGAGTAAAGCGGCCGCAGATTGTAAAGAAACGAGGAAAGACATAAGAAGAGTTTTAAAGTTGTAATCTTTAGACGATGGCGTAGATAATAGATATGTGTCATAAGGGAGATTTTAAGGAAGCTTGAGAAAGAAGAGGAAAAAATAGCATATTTCCGATCCTAAGGCTTCATGATTCCTCTTCTTCGTTTTCCCTCATGTTCCCTCCACTCCGCCTGGCTGATTGGTTGGCTGGTTGGCTGGCTAGATAGCTCGCTTGGGGCGAAAATCCAGCGCGCGTAAACCAACACACGTATGCCACTACAAACTCCACTCTACGACATCCACCGTTACCTCCACTTGCCAGCCAGTCAGTTCTGGCTAACCACCTTTCTGCTTGCTAGACTGTCTGCCTGTCTGACTGCTATCTACCACTACTACTATTAGTACTACCACTGCCGTATCATCAATGTTGTTACTCATCACTACTACTAACATTATTACTACTACAGCGACAACAGCAAGCCACTGTTGCTGCTGCTGGCGTTGCTCCGGCTACGATCTATAAGCATGTTTCATGAATGAAATCCACGTGCAAACCACGTGACTACTATTCTATCATGACTGATTCCATTTGAAGATGTTCATTTATTGATGTCAACAACAAGAAGCATTTTACGACATAATATTTCGCATTTCTTCTTCGATTAGCCTATTGTTAATCACGAGGAATTTTTTAATAAATTCCTATTACCTAAAGATACGATAGAATCTTATTTGTATAAATCTATATATAACATGAAAACGAGTTGGATACACGAATGTTTATGTTTATTAATTAATGGTATTTAAATATTTTTTTATGTATATATTTCATATATATGTTGGTTGATTAACTGATCTAAAAAAACGACGAATTCTGTTAATATCTTAATTAACACTTGATATAATTAAAAAATGCGACAACTGTTTTAACTTTATAATTCATGGTTAAATTTACCTTCTCTCAACGTTGTAAAAATGTTGTTCGAGCGAAGTGTCGTTTACAGTAATTATGTACAAACGGATAATGCTTTACTTTGATTCTGCTTTATGTATTACGAGAGGCTTGTACTTCACGACTTCCTCCGCACTTTCGCTTTATCACGTCTTTATTACTTCTTGCTATTAGACGGTCGACCAGCATGTGGTCGACGAATCGAAAACGATGGACGTGAAACACACAATTCTCGCTTCTTTTATCCAGTACTTTAATCGCCTAATAAATAAAATAAAATCAGCCTTAAAAAGCTTCAACCTTATCATATTTATACATATCATTTTTAAATATATGACGCATGCGGTGTGTAATAAAAAAATCGAGACATTATTGGCGACTGGCAGCTTAATAGATGAGGCTAATTGATAAATATCAGATAGAAAATTACAGAAGGTAATTACGGTGGAAAATAACGCTCTAGATTTTCCGCTAGACAGACAGATGCCATATCCCATGTCGCGACGAGCTTATTCAATACGCTGGAAAAAACAGTAAAGCTATAAAGGGTGCAAAGATGGTATCCATGACTCTAGGGGTTTCCGTTGAGCGACGCGGGCCATACGCGTTCTCGTCGGAGTCGCGCACTGAGAAGGAGGGAAGAAGTCGGTCCACGTCCTGCGGATCCCCTGCGAACAAGAGAGAAGGTAGGTTGCGAGAGAGTGGGACGATTGTATGTATACATTGGTTTGGTTAAAAGAGAGAGAGACGGAGCGAGGCGAGGGAGGAAGGAAAAGAGAGAGAGAGAGAGAGAGAGAGAGAGAGAGAGAGAGAGAGAGAGAGAGAGAGAAAGGAAGAGAGGAAGGAAGGAAGGGGGAGAGCGACAGAGGGAGGGAAGGAAAGGGAGACAGAAACAGAGAGAGCAGCGGTGAATAGAACAAGTAGCAACGCCAAGTCTCATGGTGGGGTGGCCCACGTCGCGCTACACCCGCGGCACTATCGCGGCAGCACGCATAGCGCGCGATGTCGCACGCACCTAACCCAACCTAATCCTAACCCAGCCTAATCCGACCTAATCCGACCTAACCTGTAACCTAACGTAACGTGACACTTGGTTTACAACCGCGGCTCGCAATCCGTGCGCTCAGCCTCAAAGGTGTACGTACATACTAACCTTACGATCCGCGCTCGCGCGCGCGCCCGCGCTCGCGCGGTGAAGCGGCTAGGAGTCCCCGTCGCGAGAGTGTAACCACCAACTCTATAGTTGCCATTGCCCGCTACCACTGCCGTTCGCTCGCTCGCTCGCTCGCTCGATCGCGCGCGCAGAGTCGCTAGTGGTCGCTCCTTCTCGTATAAGCCGCATTCGACGTCTTAGCACCTGCCGACCAGTGACGTTCACGTGCTAGGACGGCAGTTGAGTTTCAGTCGTGCGCGATCGACAGTGGTCAAGATAACGAGCAGTATCGGTGCTCTCGATCGTCATAATTTGTGCGATGCTCCGACCCTCGCCGGTTTTTTTTTCGAAAAAGATCGCCAATGGTCGAGTAGAGATAAGAAGCGTAGTTGCCGATTTCGCGCGGTAAAACGGTTCAAATATATCTCGATAATCGAAAAGTAGATCTCGATCATCGGAGCGCATAAATTTCGACCCGTCCCGATGGTCGGCAGGATATTCGCGCAAGTCGTGAGTTGTTACATTCGCGCCACGAGCCACTACGCGCGTCGCGATTGGTGAGGACACTGTTCGAAGCGGGTTAAACCGATCGAGTGTTTTATTATACGACGAGGCTGGCATCGTGTCGCGTCGGTGCGCAGCGAATCATACGATGAGCGACGGTATAGTCGGTGCAATTGCGATCAGTTTGTTCGGTACTAGTTGTCAAACTGTGTCTGTGCGTGATAGATGGCTTTTCATTCACAAAGACTCGTTCCAGGCGGCGAGAAGAAACGTCGGGTCAGCATGGATGCTGGTTATTCCGTTCTCAATAGCGATCTCGAGTCTTGCAGAATGTATGATCAGTACTCTTACAAGGTAAGTCGACACCATTGATAATGAATAGTATCGCGATCACTATTGCAAATTTATTGAATTTATGCAAGAATATCGATAATCAAAAGTAAAGCAAATTTAGCAGTTCTATAAAAATGATTAAATAAAACACAGATATAAAAGATACATGAACAATAAAATATATAAAAATAGATATAGAAAAAGAAATAAAAAATAAAAAATAATAAATATAAAAAATTGATATAAAAAATAGATATAAAACACGGATATAAAAGATACATGAACAATAAAATGTATAAAAATAGATATAAAAAAAGAACACGATATAAATTACATATATTTTATCGAATTTATGAAATCATTTCGAATTATTGTCATTAAGTTACTCCGATTGATCATGGACATCGTTACTATTTTATGTTGCTAAATATTATACTTGGATATTATACTAAGATGGTTTCTCAAATATTTTTCCAATTTTCATTGACAATAACGCTGTTATATTATGTTAAATTAATGCTTGTTATACATGAATCTTCTAACTACTCTTATATGCGATAACTTCTGAAAAGCTATTAGTAGCTAAAGTATCGGTTTATATTTGTACTTTTACTTGTGTTAATTTCTATATACATTCAAATAAATATAAATAATGTTACATATACATATAGATTATAGATAATATATGCGTGTCATATCACATATGTATATGTAAGATATCCCGAAATTTGAGGATAATAACATGGTGAAAAATAAAATAATGCATGCTATTATTTATCCTAAGAAATAGATTTTTATAAACATTTAACCGATGATGAGTGTTTCGATGATTAATTAAAACTTACCTATCTATGATTGTGCGATAGTGCGACACAATCTTTTATCTAAAGGATAATAAATGTCTGACGATTGTACACACAACTTACTCAAATAATTTTTTAAACAACTCAACTGATTGGTCAAACTTTAAATTTTTATATTTAAAAGATTATTTCATGATATAAAAAAATTTAAAGGGATTTTTAATAATTTTTTAATAATCCCTCTAAATTTTTTATATCAAAAATAATCTTTTAAAAAGTATCTTTGAGGCACTGTGTATATGCAATATGTATATACATATATATATGTATGTACTATGTATCTATGTGTATGTATGAGTATGTGTGCGGGTGAATGATGCGTGCATGCGTATGTGTATGTATGTATGTATGTGTGCTTACGCACACACACATGTATATTTGTATATCTTTCATCATATTTAATAATTTATATCAAAATAATAGCAAATATGAAAGTATACTTTGTTAAGTATTTTTAATTAGTTGAAATAAAATCTTATTTTTTTGTTTTTTCCTATTTTATTTTTGTATAAAGATAATCGCGTAAAATAATCGACGAAAAAGTGCAAGATTTTATCGTAAAATTCGAATTAAAATTGCGAAATCATGTACATTTAGATCGTCAATGCAGTTTATATGATTCATTTTCGGTAATAATATTTAAATGTAAGATGAACATGTCATAATAGTTAAGTCACATTTCCTTTTTAAACGATAAACTTTCGTGCATAATAGCAAATATAAATCAATCGAGAAAAAATATAAAAAATGCATAATGGCGACGAATTATTATAATGATATTTCTACTTGTAAATATTCGCCTTATTGATTTTACACTTTCTTTATTCTATTTTAAAATTTTAGAATAAATCATTGTATTGACTGCTATTTTTAAATATGATTTTTTGAAGTCTTTTGAGTATTACATAGTTAATAAAAATATTGGAGTGAGCAAATACTTATAAATGTAAGAGTAATGTACATATATACATAAATAAATACATACATACATACACATATATATGCATGTATATACATATGCACGTATGTATGTATAATATACGTACGTGTATTATGAATAAATGTTCTAATTACATATAATAATCATGAATCATGAGCAATGAAAATTATGAGAAAATTATTAATTTTTTCTAATTCCCTGGTATTCGATGGTCGACAGCATTCATGATTTATGTTTCTGCCCTTATTCAGTACCACAAAAGGTTCTCTTGGCTTCTCTCCTTTTTCACTTTGTCTTTCTCCTTTATTGTTACTCACTATCATAATCGGCACTACTATCACTATCATACAAACGTCTATATTCCCTGTTCAATCTGAGAGAGATTTGAAATGTTCGTCGTTCTAAATTAAATCTCTTCCATAGAATGCCGTTGTGTCTGGCATCGCACGATCAATGTTTCCAATCGTGTGTATCCATCCATCGGATCTTTTGCCATGCATAAAGCAATACAGCGAATATTAATACGATTCATCTGCGCAGGGCGTTCATCTGCGCGCGTAATTATCTAATCAAATAATCATTTGCCAATTTTTCGTGTCATCAATCTTGATATATTATATGTTAAATTGGATCTTGATTTTTATTCAGAAATATTTTCAAATTTTAATCTCTTAGCGCGCAACCTTTTATTTATCGTGCATAGAAAATTTAAATAAAACATTTTTATAACAATTTTTATTATTATTATTTTTTATTATTTTTATTATTTTTATTATTTTTATTTATAATTGTTTTTTATTATTTTATACAGCAATTCTTCCAATATGTTATTAATGTATACACTTTGATAATCTGTCGCAAATGCTTTCAACATGATAGAATCAATTTATATTTCCTTTGACTTGAAATATTTAACTGTGCATAATTTTTACGTTATTTTGATTTGAAAGAGAAAAAACATTTTAAAAATCGAAATATGACACCTTATGGCGTTGGCGATTAAACCGATAGGCCATCGTGTCCATCGAGTTAGTGCAATTTTCCCTCTTCCGATGCGAGATCCTTTTAAGAAAGATCGGACAAGCTCGTTCCAAAAATCTACTTTGAAAAGCACTCGGGGCGACCCTTTGAGAAGCAGAATTTTTCCCTGGGTAATATCGCCCGTAGGTAGGTACCTAATGCATTTCTACAGGTTTATATACTCTTCTTCCACCTCCCCGAGCCTTCCCTCCCCTACTCCAACCATCGCGGTAGTAACAACCTGCCACCCGCTTTCGTCCCTTTCTCCTTACCTCCTTTTTCGTTCGTCTCTCGACCCCTGTTTCCCCTCTCCCCTTTCTCTATATGTATCTTCCTTCGCACCCCTCTTAGCTTCTCTCTCTCTCTCTCTCTCTCTCTCTCTCTCTCTCTCTCTCTCGCTCGTTTATTTCTACTCTTTTCCTCCGGCCGTTTCAACTTTTCATTCGGTTCTCTCCTCCTCCGTTAAAACAAAATGAAAGGCGAGCCCGGTTGGTATCCATAAAAGAATGAATAAACGTAGATTGAAAGGGCATAAAAGAGTATGTACGCGTACATACATATAGCACGAAACCAAGATGAGTATGTATGTAAGTGCGCGCACGTGCGCGAGCGAGCCGAGGGCGGACGTATTTATACATTTGTATCTACGTATTGAAGAGAACAAATTAAAATCCGCAATCGCGGTAGTACAATGTAAATTTGTTTTAACGAACGTAGGTAATTGAATTTCTCTGCGTGGGTTACTTACTTAGACACACGCTGATTATAGGAAATTTTGAAATAATTTTACAATTATTAAAATGATGAAAGATATACGATGCCAAATCATTATATTATTACTTTTATCACTGTATCGAGATTTCATAAATTATCGAATATAGATATTATAATAGCGAAAATACGTCACGAATATTTATCGTTTTTACATTTTTATTACTTTTATCATTATATCGAGATTTCATAAATCGAATACAGATATTATAATAGCGAAAATACGTCACGAATATTTATCGTGAAGATTCGATTTTATTAATTGTTAGTTGTTATTTCTAGAAATCTTTGTTATCGCTGAGAATGCAAATCAAGACATTCGTTCGCTTTGCATTTGTTTGCAATATTATATGAAAGTTTATTGCCGTAAAAGACTGTCTTTATTAAATTACATTTCGTAAAGCTGGTATTCCAAATGAAACCGGGTTATGCAATGTATGCGTCATCTTCTTCGTTTAATAACGTGCCGTCTTTTTATTCTGCCAGCGGTTTATGATGTTTGGAAATAATATCGCTTGCGGTTGGAGATCCATCGTTATAATACAATCTCCATTTTGTGTAAAGACATAAACATTAGAATATATCGTAAATTCTTAAATACATGTTATTAACTTTTGTTATTGTAATATTATTTAAAATTATAACAGAAAATTATTCTCTCGACTGGCCTTTATAAAAGATCTTTTATTAAACCAAGACATTTTTATAAACTGCTTTTCTTGCGCAATTTTACATAATGTTTCAATAACATCAAAAATTAATAACATTATCTACAGGATGTTTATAATTCATTCTAGTACATTTTTGTTACGTGATACTGCATATGTACTTATACAAATATATTATAACTGATATAATTTATAAGTTATAGAATTACCATTTCGATTTGATATATATTTGGATTTAAATTAATATCAAATATATTCTCAATGCATCTGAGGCTCATTTTTCAATAAAAATGAAAAAAATATATATTTTGCTGACACGAAATGAAAAAAATATATATTTTGCTGACACGAAATTAATTTGTAAAAATACTAGATGATTAATTTTTTTACTGTTAAATGTATTATGCAAATTAAATATTAATTAAATTATGAAAAGGATTTTTCATGAATAAAAGATTATAAAAATTAATATGTAGAATATTTATTCGTTATTGAAATTTTATTTTAAAAAATTTATTTTTTCAAGATAGGTTGTTATATTGATATGCTAAGTTTAGATAGCAAATGATTTCAATTGTAGATGAATCATGTGTATTCAAGTAATTTTGTTCATGCGAATTGAAAATTGGAGAGTTATGTATGCATTGAATAAATGATCATAAAAGGTTTATTCAAGTTTGATATAGTGACAAGTTTGAAAACTTTGTCACATTAAAGTTTTACCGATTGATTTTAAGAAGTGAAGAAAAAATAAAAAAA